CGGCACCAGCCAAGCACGGTCTGTGCCCGGGCCGCGCTGGAGGCCGGCCTTTGCAGCCTGAGACCCGAGGAGGGGCCGATCCGCCTCCCCCGGGAGGAGCTGTTTGGACAGATCTGGGGGTTTGTCGTGGTCGCAGTCACGTTTGCAAAGACTGATCTCGGCGTCTGTTTGTTTATAGGAAATAAACTGGTTCCGATTCAAGGAAGACGATGAAATTTGGCTGCCTTTCCTTCCGACAACCCTACGCGGGATTAGTTTTAAACAAAGTCAAAACAGTAGAGACTCGCTGGCGTCCTTTGCTAGCGAACTACAAGAACTGCACCATTGCTATCCATATAGCTGTTAAGGACTGGGAAGATGAAACATGGAGAGCAATTCTTTTAGATAGGTTTGGTATGACACCAAAACAAGTGCAAGATTTGTTGGCTGAAGGGGAAAAATTTGGCAGAGGAGTTATTGCAGGTAAGCAGCCTTGGATTATATTTTCCAAGCAAGCTTTCAATCCGTTAACTTGCTTCAGTGCAATACACACCTGCTTTACAGTTCTGCTCATTGTAACAGTGCTGTAACACTTCCTTTGAAGTAGTGGTTCCTGGGCTGCTATTTCAATTCGTTATCACTGTAAGCTGAGGTCCATGAGGGAAGTTGTAAATAAAATTTGTTCTTTTTCATTGTTTTGTTAAGTATCTGACCTTTAGGATAAAGAATTTTAGTCAGACCTCAGTTTTTAACATAACTCTAGTAAAAACTTCAGGCTACAACTCTGAAGTCTGTACAATAAATGAAACTGACTTGTGCTAACTTGTGCAGTCATATGAAGTGGGTTGCGTGTTATGTTGTTTCATGATAATAAATGTCAAGCTCACACTTTTTGTATTCAGAGGTTAGGAACTCTTGCTGAAATAATTTTATAGTACTTGTCAAGTGAAGTCGTGACGTTGCAGTGCTTTGCATGTCATGTTGGAGCATTACACAAATAAATCCTATTTCGGTTCTACAAATGCTCCATTGCTGCTGTTACTTGGGCAGTGAAGTTTGTTTCTGTAACACAAAGTTAGGCTGGAGTGGCGTTCCTTGTATTGTGCTGAAATACAAGGTATGTTGCTGCACTGTATCCTTTCAAAGTTTTTATCCAGCAATCATTTTACACTCTTTTCTTGTGGGTATCTTGTGTTACAGCATCTTGCATTCTTATTTGAATACTCTTACCCATTCCTGCACAACACATTACTTCTATCACATGTACCGAAAAATTGTTCTTGTTCTATAGTGCTGAAAATGGTTAGGTACTATGTAATGTGCACATTAGCAACCTTGACATAAATTGCATGCTAAATTGTGGAGTAGGTATCAAGTATCAAGGCTTCTTTGATCTTTATTTTAACATTTCTAATCATCAAACAGTATAGACATTCCCTTTGGTGACGTTAAAAAGATAGTTTAATGATTTTAAAATGTTAACAGTGTCCTGATAGGAGCAGAGAGTTTTATTTTTAATGAAAATGTTTCGAGGTCAGATGTAGCTCAGGACTTTTGGTAGCAGCTCTATTGGTAGCAGCTCTATCTCTTTATATGCAGGCTTCTTTTAACAGAATTCTCTATCACTGAGTTGTGAATGGGATGAATTCACCTGTTCTTCACCGACATAAGTTCAGACAGACAGGCATTGACACTGGTTTGAGTTGTGCGTGCTTCACACTGCGTTCTTCTGGGAACAAATTAGCTGTTCTCTGTGTCTTCTGGGGAGTTTAGTTTTGGAAAACTTTTCTCTAGGAGATCAACCAACTAATTTTATATTTTAATTTTATACTACAGGATTAATTGACATTGGAGAGACATCACTATATCCAGACAACTTGCCTCCTGAAAAGATTTTGGAGCTGGAAGACAAAGCTGTCCTTAGTAATCTAGAACAGAAATACTTGACTGTTGTTTCAAACCCAAGATGGCTCCTGGAACCGATTCCGGCCAGAGGGAGGACAGGTGTGTGGCAGGTGGACATCCCTGAAGAACTGATCCCTTCATAAGCGTAGGTGCTGCCCCTTATGATTAATTTTCCTGCCTAAATGCACACTTGTAATTCACAAGTAGGCATCTGGAACACCAGTGAGTTTTTTTAGGATTCCCTTCAAAACTAATTGTTTGAAAGACCTTTTTAAAAAGTGCTCTTTTGAGGCAAGATAAGCACGATGTAATTTTTATGACCAGTACTGGAAAATACTCATGGGTTACTAGATTTTTCTTGTATAAATAACACTAAGTAAATGCAATTTTTTTTAAAGACTTGGTTGATGTATTGTGTGCCATTTTAACACATGAGTAAATACAACCATGTGATGCAAACATCTCTGATTACACGAGGAGGAAAGAGTTTGTAGGACCCTGCAGAAAAACAGTGCTTGAAAGCAGGCTGCCATCAGTAATAGGACTTCTGTCTCAGTCCTAACCTTACATTTGTGGGATTATTGAGAAAGAAATCATCTGAGATGAAGCCAGTCCTAGAGGCTTGTCAAACAGAGGCAGAGATTTGCTAGGTGAGGTTTCTGCACATGGTGCTTGTTATATACCGTAGATGTAAAACTTACATGAAGAGTAACAAAGGTAAGTCCTTCATTTTGGCACTTAAAGAGTTGTTCAAAATTCACCTCCTGCATTACAGTGAAGATCCTTTTCACTTTCTGGAGCGAGGTCCAAGGCCAGGTGCAGGCATGGCTATAAGAACAGGACAGGGCAGAGGTCTTGTATTCAGATGGTTTACTAGAACACTTAATAAAACCACAAATGTCACTTCAAAAAGAGCTGTGGAAGGTACCTAGCATGTGCCCCAGGTTGGGGTCTGAGGCCGCTGCCTGCATGTTTGCTGTTTGGACCACAAGTGCCAGTTGGGCAGTGGTGGTATGGTAGTTTGCCCCTAGGGCCTTGGCATAGGCAGAGCGGTAGCTGCTGCCAGCACAGCTGGACAGGCAGGAGGTGCCAGCTTGGGTGGAAAGGGACTGTTGGGCATGGCAGGACCTGGTGAAGCAGGAGCGGAAACAGCATCCTGGATTCCAGCTGGGCTGGGGCTGCTCTGCTGCAGCAAAAGGGAGGGGGCCAGACAACTGAGCTTCTCCCTGCCTACTGCTGCTGCAGGGTCTGAACTTGTCAAAGTGGTGATCCGTGCAGATACAGAGGCACATCTGACTTGGGTAGCTGCCTTAGCATGTCACTTGGCAGGCACTGACCCCCTGGGTGCAGAGGTGTGCACGTTCTCCCTTGGACCTGCTATTAGCAGACCGCTCTCCTCCTCAGAAGTGGTTTCCCACACAAGCTCAACATCTGGTTTGCTTTTCTGGCGGTGTGCACACACATCTGTAAAGTGAAAATCCTGTATATGGTTGCTCTTCTGGACCAAAGCTTTGCTGATATAGCAGATGTGGAAGATGTCTTCTAAAATCTGGGTTGTAGAAGTAAAACTAAGAAATGCAAAGGAAAAAAGTTAATTGCCACCATCCTGAGACTGGAAACCACAAAGAGAAAAGAACTAAGAATTTTAATTGCCAAAGTGTGAATATTAAAAATTACTACCAGGAGCATTCTAAACCTGACGTTTAAGCTGAATAAAATACAGTCCTGTTAAGTAGTAACCAGCCTTGTGTTTTTGTTGCTTAGTGACAGAGAAGCATAAGATTTTCAAAAGCCTACAAACTGATTTTAAAACCCAAATACCATTACTTTTCAGTAACTTTGGCATGGAATTAACATTTAGGTAACTATGTATACGATGCTGACATGGACCTTCTCAGCCTTCAGGAAATGCCACAAGAAAACTGCACAGAAAACTGCTTATCTGCTACAGCAAGACACGTAGCAAAACACATTTGCTACTCCTCTGTAGTAAATGCTTCTTTCATTGGAACAGAAATGTGTCCCACTAGAATATTCTGAGAGTTGGTTTGCACACAGAGGATCCAACAAACCTCCCTAGCTGTTTCTTCTACTAGCAAGTCACTGCGCGAGCCCAGTTTTGGAAGATCACATAGCTTTCTGGTGAATCCATGCAGCTGGAGGTGATTGAGTGAAGCTTTTCATGCTCTCACTTTCAAAAATTCTCAGATGCCCTTTCCTTGCTAGTACTTCCTCTTCGAACAATTCTTCATGAATCACTACACACCTTCCATTATTACCCCACCAAACAGACTCAAATTGATCATATTCTGCAGCATCCCAGAGATTCTTCAGAAAGCTGAAGCATGTACAGGCATCGCCTTTGCTATTGCTCTCAGAGGAATCCTGATGCTCACTTTTTGACCAGGCTTGCTTACTCAAAGTTTGTGAAGATCTTTCTTTAATTGGGTGTCCAAAGGCAGCATCAAAAACTGCTTTGTCACGTACTGGATGAAGAGAAGTTGAGGCTGATGAATCAGTTCCCTTGGCCAGAACAGAATCATGTGACATTTCCAATGAGAAAAGCTCCATTTTTAATTATCTTTTCTCAATTTGAGTAAGTTTCTCAGCCAAACCCTAGCAGCTAGACTGTCCTGCCAGCCAGCCAGCTGAAAGGAAGTCACCAACTGACTGAAAGTCCCAGGGGACAACTCTGGAACATCACCATGACACCTGTGCTGCGCTGCCCTGACACCACAAAGCAGCAGCATCTTGTTTTCTAGCAACATGAAGCAGCAGCAGCAAGTGCTAAATAGCACCTGTTACTTTTCATATGTGGAGTTGGAGGGGACCCATAAGGATCACCCAGTCTAACTCCCTGCTCCTCGCAGGACTACCTACCACTAAACCACATGAGAGTGTCCTCCAGCCGCTCCTTGAACTCTGCCAGGCTTGGTACCCTGACCACTGCCCTGGAGACTGATCCAGGGACTGACCTCCCTCTCAGTGAAGAACCTTTTCCTAATGCCCAATCTGAACTTCCCTTGATGCAGCCTCATCCCATTTCCTCATGTGCTATTGACTGGTCACCAGAGGGAGGAGATCAGCACCTCCCACTGCCCCCCTTGGGGAAGTTATAGACAGCAATGGTCACCCCTCAGCCTTTTCAAAGCCGAAAAAGCCAAGTGACCTCTGCCAGTCCTCATAAGTCTTGCCCTTGAGACCCTTCATCACCGTGCTCACCCTCCTCTAGACACACTAATAGGTTGATGTCCATTTACAGATTTTTTTTTTTACCTCAAGAACCAAAAAGTAAATAAAACTACAGTGAAATTTTAAGTGTAGTGATAGGACAGTGCTGTGTTGGGTTTCAGTGAGTAGCAGGTCCACGGAAAAGGGGGAGGTCTGCAGTGTTGGAAAGAAAAGGACCATACCTCTGAAGTTTTTGAGGTGCGTGCCTTTCACACACGAGTGTAGTCCATACACTCTTTGCTGTCATCTCACTGCCATGCTAACGCTAAGGAAACATGATCCATGGTATTAAGCTACCTAAGCAGGGGGTTCACCTGAACAGAAAGAGCAGCTGCAAGGATATGGAAGTACCCAACATCTGTTGTTATAAGCTGCTGGAGTATAGGCTTCAAGAACTAAATTTCTCTAGAGCACCTGGAAGTCCAAGACAATCTGTCAAAGGAGCTCTTCCTCCAAACAAGAAAATGCTGTACCAACACCAATGAACTCCTATCTTGAAGTGTTTAATCATTTATACCAACACAAAGTTGGTACTGAAGACCAAGCTATGGTCTTTATACCAGCTAACTGACAGCTGTAAAAACTACAACTAATGTTTCTGGCATAGACCACACACACAATGCAAGAGGGAACAGCTTCTTAAATACCCAATCTAATGGGAGAATGGTATACATGCTGCTCAAGAAGAATTGAAGCGTGAAGCTGGAACAGCAACAAAAGCAACACTGAACTCCCAAGCCAGTGCAATACTTATATGAAAAATTACATAGCTAACGAAAAACATCATGTAAGTTGCTACACATTCTGTTTCTTCCCTGCAAAAAGCTTTCCAGTCTTGCCTGAGAAGTGCAACACTGCTGTGCCTCTGTTGTTAAGACAATGATTGTGGCTGAAAAGAAAAAGAAGTAAGGAGGTGCTATACTAAGTCATCCCCAAAGCATTTAAAACAGATATGAAAATCAAGTGTGTATTTAGGACCTAAGACACCTGGAATAGCATAGGCATTACATACAGGGTTTTTAAAAAAAATACTTTTAGATAATACTTATACTGTACAGGACAAGACTTTTAAACAATATATTACACTGCTAAAATGTTCATATAAATACTATACAGGCGAGCGTGCAACCAACCCGTTAGGAAGGTTCACAAATTACACCACCACATATCTCTGTAAAAGCTCTCAGATTATCTTCAAGATCTGATTTGTGTCATCCAAGCTGCTGATTCAGCAATACGTATTTTAAAGTAATTGGGACAAGGCATGAGATGAAATACATTTGTCTGCTGATTCCCAGTTCAAGTTTAATATGCTACTGTCGTCTTAATCTGGCACATCAATGTTTAATTTGGGAGGTGGAATCACGTATTTTCCAGGACTCTGTGTAATGACCACTCCAGTCTTTTTTCGAAACATTGGTGCAATTTTCGGTGGTTCAGGCAGTGGTGTTTCTTCTGTTTCCTCATTATCTTCATGATGAAGATCATAAGAAATATTTCCATATTCTCGTAGGAATGGGAAAATTTCAAGCAGGAACTGGCAAAAGTCTTTGCGAATTCCAAACCACCCTAAAAAAAAACCCAGGAAATAATTTCACATTCTTGGAGAAAAAAATGAAAATTTAATTAAGCAGTCTATGCAACCTCATTTAAGTTCTCGTGATTGCTTGCATACGAACAATATAAAATCTGTTAGTGCTGCTTCTCAGTGTGTTACTTAGACCTATCATCTAATAGCATTATTGTTCAGATTATGTACAGATACACAGGCAGAATAGATACACATATACAGAATATATACACATATACAGAATATATACACATATACATTTGCATGCCTCTGTGTGCGTATATCCATACACATAAATTACAGCTATACCACCACAGCAAGAATCCATTTCATTGCACATCTTAAACAGCATCAAGTCACATCAGTACACAGGAAAAAACAAAAACAGACACTGCATTTCAATCAAAGCAATCAGTCCTACATGGGAAGACATTCACGCCAACTTTTGTTTTGCATTTCAATCAAAGCAATCAGTGCTACATGGGAAGACATTCACGCCAACTTTTGTTTCATACACACAAGGTTACACCGCTAAAGGGAATGTGATGGCATAGGCAGACACAGATAGTAAATGTAAGTATTCAGCATTCCCCAAATACTTTTGTTGTTAGCCAAAGATGTGATGATGGGAGCATCTCATCCTTGGTATTACCTGTGCTAAAACAGTATGCACTGTGTTTGTTATGTATTTTGCTACATGCAAAGACTTGGAAAGAGCCTTTCAGTAAGTGGCCCTTGTGATTCAGCAGATTGCACTCCTCTGTCAACCAATACCAAAGGTCAGTGGTAAAAGGAACAGCCTGCCCAAGTCAAGTCTTCCACACTGAAGGAAAGCAAAGTATGAAACCTTTCCCAGGGAAGATCCCATCAACCAGTCTTTTTGCAGTGATTATACTTCATGGCCAACTGGTTGATTTTGCTTAGCACTTTAAAGGTGGACTTTCATGCAAGTTTTCTGCGGCTCACCTAAAGTGACTACTTTTTAAAGAGTTTACATTAATATTTATTAACCCTACAAAATGGACATATGGCTTTCCAAAAGACTAACTTAGCCATAAATTATTGAGGGCATACATTGTAAAAAAATCAAAAATCACCAGTACCAATTTTCCATGCAATGACAATATTAAAGTAAACTAAATGTATGGAGACAAGCTTCATCACGACAAAAGAAATTCTGAGTATACTTCACAATTGGACCAAAACTGAAGTGAGTTTATATCACAAACATCACAGCTGGTTTCTTTCAACTCTGAAAAATCCTAACAAATTTTATTGCCTTGTCAACAAGGAACATGAGCTACTCATCTGCACTGGCTCAGTAACATCAGATGGCTGAACGTGCAAATGCTGCTTTTGGCAGTGCTAGCTGTGGTGGGGATAAAAGCCCAGTAAATCTGCACTGGCCACTCAGGCAACTCCGGTTAGAAGCAAGCAGCACAAGAGCACTCTTTGGCTAAACAGGAGGGAGAGAACAATAGTTCAAGGCTACTAGAACAAATGCTAATTCAACATGGTAGGTGCTACACTATTTTCAGAACCCAGAGTAAAAAGATCCAGTCACGTCCCATGAGAATGAAACCCATTGAAATAAGGAAGGGTAAAAGGTTAAGGTACAATTAAAATCCCATTAAGATTTCAAGTTGAGTCCAAGCAGAAGTTATGCTCTCACAGGAATAAAGAAAGAAAAGCAAGAGACAGTATGAACAATGAAAACTTACTAAAATCACCTGAAAACATTTAAGCCTCGGGTTTCAAGCTGTTTCCATGACTTTCAAATACTTACAGTGATTTCCTCCTTTTTGTCCAAATGTTGTTGCCATTAAAGTTATCAGTGACAGCCAGAGAGGAACAAATATGGGTATGAAAGAAAAAGAATTATGTCCATCCAGTCTGTGTACTAGTAAGATCTAAATAGGAAAAAAATACACCATGTCAGTATAATTGCAATACCCACTTTCAAGCTCATTAAAACAGATGCTGATCTCAGATCTTTAACTTCACACATCTGTGAAGAAGAAAATTAATTTTGCAGAAACACGTATTTACAATTCCAATGTGCTGCATATTTTACTTAAAAAAACTTCAAAGAAACAAAGAACTTGTTTTTCTTTCATATTTGCTGTTAATATTTTACTCCAAACCAAAAAGCAGTATTCTCACTTTAGTAATTTCCAAAAGAAACGCAACATTCATCCCTCACTGAAAAAAGAACAAGAGACATAAAACCCGTTATGCTTTTTCCTACCTCAAACGTGAGCAGTGGAACTACAATCGTCATCCAGCTGACAGCCATTGTTATGTGTGTCCTCCTTTGCTCAGCAATCACATCCATAGAGCGCAAGAACAGCACAGACCATACGATGTAATAGAGCACTACCAGACACAGAAAGGACATCAAGATCCACAGGGGAACACAAACCACCTGAAAGAAAAAGAAATTAACTGCTTTTCCACCCCCACAGGAGTACATTTTCATCAGTTTGATTTGTTTCAGGTGTGGGTGTTTTAAATAAAGGAAGACTACATATGAAGTCCAAACAAGAAAAATAATTTTAAGTCTATAACTAACTTTAAATCTCTTTAATATAATCTCTATTCTAACAGAAAAGCTTCACAAATCTGTTGTAAGCCGTATCAGCTCTTTTGAGTTCCTCAGTTCTCTGTAAACTCCATCAAGCAGAAACAATTTAAATGTAGTTCAATAGGACTTCTGTGATGTTATGTGGGCTCAAACAGCATTTGAAATTCATTTTAGCAAGTATTTTTTACACTGGATACCTTACTTCAAACAGTTTCTAAAACTAGATCCTTTTCCTAGGTTTTTGGAAAATAGAAAGCACAGTCCTAACGGTGTCAGATTATCAGTTTTATGGTACCTTACAAAAACCCAGACACAGAAACAGCACTTTTGTACTCTAAAGGCACTTGGGCCAGGAGATCTCAGCAGCTTTGACAGTGACCTCTTGCACAATAACTGGATTTACATGTCTGGTAACACAACAAATAAAACAAGTTATTTACCAGCACATTCCCTAACTCACCAATCATTTTCATGCCTAGTTCAGTGTTCCCACTGGAAACTTTTGGTTTTCAACAACTGATGAGAGATTAATTGCAGTTGACAGCACATCCCTCTCCTCCAAAAGATGAAATGCCCAAAGAACAGCCTCTGTTTGTTTCCCATGACCACATGGAAAAAAATCCATGTTTCCACATGCCAGACCTTCAGTGAAGGATTGTTAAGTGAGCAAAAATGCTATCATGGACTCTGATCGCACACTAACTGTTCCCTGTAGTAAGTATCTTTATGAAAGTTGACATTTACACAAGGATAAGAAGAAAACACTTGTTACATACAAGCCACGGCCATCTGATGATCTCATCTAGTCTGAGCGCAATAAATATGAACTGTAGAATATTGACTGAACACAAGATTTCCAGCTGGAAAAAGAAAATACATTAGTTAACTCTTAGCATGAGAAAGCTACTTCCAAGATAACCAAAGACTCTGTCAAAGGACTCTTCTGACTCTGTGCTTATCACTGCAATAAGAAACATCATTTGCGTTTAGAGTAGCTATTACTAAGGATCCCTAAATTTGGGAGGCTGTGATCCCAATAGTGTAGCTGTAGAGGCAGCTGTCTCCTGATGAAAGGCCTTCCTAGTATTAAAAAACCAACCTATAATTAAATTAACAAGTAGTAAAAAGCATTTAAATTTAAAACTAGCAAAATTTATCTTTAAAGAGATCATTTAGTAGTTGCAGTAATGTAAAGATGAAAGTCACATGGGTTTAACTACCAACAGTCCAGTTTAAAGTCCCAGCTGTATCTGGAGGGAAAACACAGAATAGTGGAAGATGACATCCAAATGTAACCATTTTCTGTATAATTAAGAGATATTTTAAGTTACACCGAAAACACTTGGGCGTTGAGGCAATACAGAAACACAATACTTCTCATTAAAAATCTTGATGAAAGCTTTTCATGTGCCCTACTTATTATGAGAACTAGCCCTAACTTATACTGTTAAAAAGAAGTTTGTGTCTAGCTTGAACAAAGTAAAACACTGAAACATCATCGCACTTGGCAAGATTCTGTTTCTAAAGTTCATGGGCAACCCTACATGGGTAGGAATTTCAAAGATCAAGCAAAGAATTACGATCTGAAAAGACTTAACTGAAGCTCTTAAGTGTAAGTTAGAAATATTTTCCATTTAAAAAAAAAGGCCAAACATGTAGGGATGTAAGACATCTTTGAAATTTACTGTTTCTCAGAAGGCAGACACTACATGCTATTCTTCATTAGCAAACGTGATTGTGTACTGTGATCTCTTGGATAAAAGCCTTTGAAATTCACAGCACAGGTTGTCAAAAATCCAACAGGCAGCCAGCACTTGCCTACTTCAGATTACACTGAAGTCTTCGATGTTGAAGTACAGGTTACTGTAAATTAGACTGGAAAATAGAATTAAAAGGATTTTGTATCACAGGCTTTCTAAAAAGAATAAGCCACCCAAAAATCCACACAAGCAGAAGACCAAGCAACCTGAAAACTGGAAGAGCAAACAGAAAAATAAAAAAGTCACAGGATCAATTGCTATTAATAATCTTTAGAATCAAGTTAACATTTGAGCTATATATGGCAAGTGCATGTATTTGGAGTGGCTAGGCTCATAATTAAATGAATTCAATATGTCTTAAATAAATAGTGCTTCATTGACTGTGAAAATAGAACACCACATGAAAGAAAGCTTTATCTGAGTCCACAATGCTATATAGACAAAACCCCACGATGGACTTGCTGATCAGCTCATCAGGTTCAGAATAGGAACAAGCAGACAATGTATTTTCAGATTAAATAATTATGAAAACAATCCTAGATTAACAACTGCTTTAATTATTCATGCCAAACTTTAATACCCTGGATTAAAGACAGGCCCCTCTTATGTTTCTAGCAAATGGAAAGGAAATAATGAAATACTCCCAGTGTAAAACAGCACTAAGTGAAGATGACAAAATAGTTAAAAAAGAGTTAGAGTTCAACTGCAGAACTTATTTTCTGTGAGACAGCTGTTGCCTTTTAAGGGTGAGCAGGTCCCAGTATTTCTTCTGCCAGTAATTAGCAGCTGTGCAGTCATCTGTAAACCAATGGGTAACCAAGCTTCATCCGGTAGAAGGCAAGTCCTGCTACACAAGTTTTACTTTTAGGAATGGTGAATTGGGAAGAGAACTCTGCAAATGAAATTCTGTTTGCAATATTTTTAAATTGACAACTTAAGGTATCAGTTTACCAGCGATCCTAACATTCACTTCACAAAAATGTTTCTGTAGACAGAAACTTGTATGCTGACGTTAGAGAAATATGCTCTTGAAATGAACAAGCCTGAAAAAGCCGAATTTCATCTACATATGGATTTTCAATTGTTATGGGATAGTGTGAGGACATAGCAAACAAAAAAATCAATAAGGATTCTAAATTTACAGCAAAACACCACAACCGTCAGAAGATCTTGAAAATCCCTGCAAAGTTCTTTCAAAACCAAAAGGAGTAATGTAGAGAAGAAAGAAGACAGAGACAGAAAATAAAACCCTCCTGTTTTATGCCTACCATCTGCATTCCCCAATTAAAGAAAGATCAAACACACAAGTTGGGATAGTAAGACATTTTCAACCCCCATTAGAGCTCTGGAAGTTCTGTTCTGCCTAGGGACTTAGGCAGATAGCGCTTACTATCAGCAGAATTTTCTTCAGTAATTTCTGTTTAAGTGTTTAATATTATCCATATTGCAGAGTTTGCAGCGAGTTATTTTGACACAGTATAGCAAAAAGCCACGTTTAAAACATGCTGCAATTTGGTAGCTGAAAAAAAATATAAAATATTAGGAAAAACTGTATTATTCCCGATCCTGATTTTTCACTCTAGCAGGTCAGTGCAACCAATTAATTCAACAAATGCAGTCATCCATACAATGCTTCACTAAGGGATGAACTGTAACTACATTGATACAGAGTCTTGCCACAAACTTTACACATAACCAAGGAAGCATTACCTCCAGAGACCTGTCATGTCGAAATCCCCACACGCAAGCTGCAACCGACACTGGGGACACAAAGAATAATGGCATGAAGACCAGGAGCCAGAAATGAGTTCCTCTTTCGATCCTGTCACACACCAGAACTTCAAACATCAGCAGCAGCAGGTGGATGCCCACTGCAATTAACATCGCTTTGAACTCCACACAGGTTTCTCCTTCTGCTCTGAAGAGAGGATAAGGAAGCATTCAGTCCACTTTTCAGTAAGAAAGCACAGTACCCTGCTAACATCCCACGACGCTTTGTTTACAATTGCTAAGTTGCAGACATTAGCACTTGTTTTTAATAAACGGACACATTATGCCCAAGTAGCTGCTATTAAACCACACTGCTGATGATGCAACGGGACTTCTTGCCCATAAAGCTGCACATTTGTTACTCAAAAGGAGCAGTGGGATTTTTACAACTTCAGAATTTTCTAAGGATTCCATAGCTGTGCAGAGAGATAAAACAGAATTTCTACTTTTTCTCATTTGCTATTACACTCGCAGGCTGTTAGGGAATAAGCTACATCTAAAATTATGTTCGGTTCCTGCACCAGCTTTCATTGAATCAACATCTTTTCCCAGAATGTTTTTATTCAACAAAATCAGCATCTTGAAACAGAATATTATCTATGACTACAAAGTAAAATGCTTGTAAAATAACAGCACACCCAGAGAAACCACACTTCTCCTACCCAAGCAGAACCATTACTCGAAGGGGCAAACAAGACCTGAACCACATAACACAGTGTATCAGAGTGAGACCTGTGCACATCTTTCGTTTTATATTCACTGCAGACAGGATTGAATTGATTGCACTTCATTTAAGGTAGTTTTTCTTTTCTCCTACCATGCGCAAATTCACATCCTACTCCAATTACCAAAAAAGTGAACACTGACTTATTTAAAGGTCTAAAAGTTCTTTTACCCTAAACTGACAAGCAAAATATCCGTGTACAACAACTTGGACAAAAATGAAAAGGAATTTACAGGATTTGTACCCACAAGCATCTTGCTATCCAAGTGTTAACACATTTGCCTATATTAGTGTATTAAACCACTTGAATATTTCTTATAAAACTACAACTAAAGTCTGAAAAAATTCTATGTTTACTGCATATTTAGGAACTGCTGAATATTCATCAATATGTTCACTGAAGTTAATGTGCACACGAAGGAGAAAGCCAAAAAATTATTTTAAGTATGTTGAAAACAGACCTTCTGGATGCTGTATCTTATGCTGTTTAAAAAAAACTATTTCTAAATTTGATTCAGCATGGAAAACACATTATGTTCCCTCTGTTTTGCAAAAGGAACATCCTCAACTTACCGATACTGTGGGTTTCGGGCCCATACTCCTGTTCCCACTGAGGCACCAACAATCACCATTAACTTCCACAGCCATATGGGAGCAAATACAGCCCAGTAACTCCACTGAATTTTGTCATCCAAACGCAGAGACAGCAACACAGAGAAAAGCAGCAGGCAGGCGTAAATAAGAAATTTGCTATTAAAAAAACAAACAGAAGCCAGAAATTAGCTTAACGTGAACAGAGAACAAGGAAGTCAGTCATAGCTGAAATTTAATCAGGATGCCTCATAACAGAAAACGTGCATCAAGCTTCATTGCAAAGACTCAAATCAGTGCTGAAGAATCAAGTATTTCATCATAAACACAGCACATGTCATCTCTTTCACTTATAAAACCATTGCTTCAAGGGAACACATCAAAAGCATTCCTGTATGACAAAATGAATGGACATCTAGAAATAGTGCCCTCCCACAAGGACCTGGTCAGGAGCTGCATTATTAGAGGCTCAGAAATACACCAGCTGTACAAGTTTTTAAAAAACATGTTCTTTCATACAAGTTAAGTAAGATTGATGTAACTTTTGAACATAAAAAAATTCATGTAATTTTATCCACACTATTTTTAACTAAAGATAAAAAACTACTACATATTGTAGTAAGTGAGACTCCTGAGTCTGGTTTTAATTTTTACAGTCAGTCAAAAAGCACCATCCAACAGGTTAAACTTTCAATAAAGTTACTGATGACAGAGTGAAGTTTCTAACTGCAACGCTGAGGACAGTGCTTACAAGTTTAAAATAGTTATGTTGATATATTTCATTAACTAGTCAGCCTAAGAATGAATAAGGGTATCTGGAACACTTGAGAGCAGTGGCACAGCAACTGCTTGTACCACCACCAATCAGAAAATAATCACGTAGTACATGATTTCCTCACGCTATAGGAAGGGAAAAAGTCACCCACTCGTTCACCAGAGGATCACAGACTGCTTAATAAAACACATAATTAGGCTTCAACACCACTTCAGTGAAGTAATTTAATGTATTTTAAAACATGGCTAATAACCTAAGGAACAGAATAAATACTTGCTACAGAATAAGGCAGCAGTCATCAGGAATGCTACCCTTACTCCAACAGCACAACTCAGCTACCCATTTTCACTCTCAAATAATAAAACGTTCATTAGTTCAGCATTGCCTTGTTCAGATATCAAGCTGGTTTGTCTCTATTCAGAACAAATGCCTTAGCTGCCCCTTAAGAAAAAACAGTTTTATTGTGTCTGCATCTCCTTGCATGCTTGATGAAACTACCTCCGGATAGGATGATCTATAACAACAGTCACTCTTCACAGCAACAGAGATCCCTCAGTCTCCTAGGCTATTCATACCTTTCCAACGTTCAATATTTGTTTAATTTGTATTTCCCTGGCTCCTCCATAAGTACAGAAGTAAGATGCCATGTGGTGAAATACCGGTGCCGAGTGTTCCAATAAACAACAAAACATTCAATATAAAGTTATCTGCACAAGTGCACCATTCAGCTTGGTAATTTATCATTCAGCGTCCAAATAATTTGCAAGCATTGCTCAGCAATAACAAAACTTTGTAAGCTTCTGGAACTTCTGTTCCTGCTTTTCCACTACTTCCAACCACACATTTAAATTGTTTATTTCGAACTCCCTGCCGCAATGCATTTCCTGAAGCATTGGTTTCTCTTCTGTTTGTCTAAACAGCCGATTAAACACAGCTTTTTGTAATTGCACTCATGTAAGGCCTCTTTCACAAGCAAGATTTTTCCAGGACTCTCAGTGCTTCACACCACCCTGTACAAATTACTTGCAGGTCTTTATTCTTAAAATACCTGGTAACAGCAAAACCAGTAGAATTCAATTAATTCTGTCAGCTTCTTTAGAAGTCACACGTATCTGTACTCGCCTGGCATGACAGCAGAAGCACAAGTTGTAATGACTATCAGCTTGTTAATTTTAAGAGAGCCCAGAATAAAGAATCACCACCAGCGATTCTCCATCTCTCGGCTAGGATTGTTAAGCCAATGCCTTCACACCTGCAGAAAATGAACCTTTACCATAGGCCAAATGTCTGTGTTAGAGCATAAGGTAACTTTGCTTTCCAATATAAAGCTTTATACCCCAAACGGTCAACTTGAAAAATTTAAAAAAACCCCAACAAACAGAATGAGACTTGGGAGTAATCTGAGACAGTTACATAATAAAGCAAAAAAAGACGACTGGAATCTGGCCTTGAAACCAGATGAGGGATGCCCACACTTACAGGCACCCTGACCAGGAACCAGTCGAGGGGAGCACGTCCCAGCAGCCACGGGCGTCGAGAAGAAAACTGGGTAAGAAACAGCCCGAAACGGCCCTCAAGCCGCCGGCACCGGGGCGCTTCCA